ATTGCAAAAAAAATGCCAAATGCTAAATGTGAGCATGTTAACATTTGTATTACGCTGTTAACTGCAGGCATGCTGAAATGCTAAGCTTGTATTGTGTAAGTGGGACAAAGCCTGACAACGTAGCCTACAGCTACATACGTCGTTGAGTTTGAGATGTCCTTAAATGGCCACCACACAGAGTATACATGTTTTTTTTATGTGTAACAGCATGCAAAGTCTTCTCATGTCCACTGTGTATTGTGTGAACCAGACAGTTTGACATGGTTTCCATATCATGTCATCATATACTTACATATACCATATCAGAAGTAGATTGTGGTACTCCCTCATAGTCCCAGAGTCATTTCCAGGAGGAATGAACAAGTACCTTCCATAGGTTATTGCATTGAACAGTTATTGTGCAGTAAAAAATACAGGTGGCCCAGATTGACTGAATGTACGTGTGCTTAATGGCTGCCTAATTACCGTTTATCTTAACTTGAAAGAGTTCCCAAACATCTCTCTTGGCTTATCTTTATGGCTAATAGTTTATAGTAGAGCAGTTATTCCAGTAACCCAAAACTCTGCAGCAGGTCTCAGATTAGTGTGCCTATCTGGAATTGTATATTATACAGTAATATAAAGCAGCTTGAGGTGAAACACAACATTGATCGTTATATTGCTACTTAGATATTGGTTATTTGAGCACCTTTACAACATAGAGTTGTACTTCCTGTTGAGCACATAGTAAGGTAAGTTGCCTGTAACACAGTTTAAGGGGAAGTAAAAACCGACTGAAGAGGTGCTGAAAGAGAACAAAAACAATATAGAGAGTTTTTGCACTGTGCTCGTGGGCTGCAGAGTGATCCAAGTACCTGGCATCACAATAGTTTTTTGAGAATAATAGTAGGCGGGATTCCATGAAATTCCATGATGTTCATCTGTCAGTTTCCTTCTTCAAAGTTTCCACATTGGTACTCTTTTATTAGTTTAGCTTGTGAAATCACTTTGACATTCTGCACATCGCTGCTTCCTCCTGACTCAGAATGTGCAACAGAGTCATCGCTACAATTGTGGGCTATTCTTTCCCAAATGTAATGCGCCTACAGCTGAGGACACCACAAAATATAAACCAAACGTTAACAATTAGAGCTGCAAAGAAATTACTTCTGTATCTACTGCATGTGTAAGTTGACACAGATTGTGATCTATCTGTGATATTTGAATAGATGTTGGAAAGCAGACACCCAGATGCTGAAAGGGTCAGAGATTAAAAGGTAACCTCATTGAAACCATTTGCCAACAAGGTTCAGTTTCAGTTGTGCGACAGAGGGAGAAGCTTACTGGAGCAGCTGCTCTGTCAAAGAGAGTAATGTACTGTAGGGTGGAGGCCATGAGTAACAAAGTCCCATAATTACAGGCACATATATCAGCACTTTAGTAATAATAGTCCTTATTTTTAAAGATGAAAAACACTAGAAATAACATAAAGCATGGAAATAGTGCATTAATACAAAAACAAGGCAACCCAAGCACAACCCACCCAAACATCACATGCAAAGCCAGTTTATCCACAGACATTAATATATGCTTAATGAATAAATAGCTTAGTTTAATATGTACACAAATATTGAAGTGAAAACACTAGAGAATTGTATAATATTTTGTCTTTACCTCTGTACTTTTACAGTTCAGGCCTGATAAGTAAGTCTTCATAATAAATTCACTTGACATTTCAGCAGATTTTTTGTGTATAGTGTAACTATTCAACCAATCCATGTTTACCAGTTGCTCATTAACCAGGAAACAAAAATCCAACAACCCTTGTGCATTTTTGCTGGTCAAGGAGGAAGTCTTCCCCACACATTCGTTCTGATCCAAAAAACTGAGGCATTGGGGATCACCGTGTTGATGTAGGGCCGGGGATGTTTAAGTTGAGATAAGTTCTTCTTTATTAGTGTAATGTAGTCATTTATAGGAAAAATAAGTACTTTAATGAAGCATTTTAGAGTGTAAATGCTGTACATACAGTGTGTCCTCAAACAGGACTTTTTGTCTGTGTGAAAAAAGGAAACCCATAAAAACAAGATGTGATCTTATGTTCCTCAAATTGGCTTTTAGTTTAGCAGGACGCTATGAAACCAAAGTAACACATTTCTTGACCTTAAACTCTAGGTCAAATATAATACCAATGTACTGCTGTTTATTTAATGGCACAAAAAGACCTAAATATGTCTTACTGCTTCTGTAAACATGTCAGATGAAGAACTGGAGTTGCCAGTTCTATGAACAAGTACATTCTTACAGTAAAACTGAAAGAAACCCTTTCCACTGTTCGTGCCAGCAAGTGCTCATATTTGCTAACCTCCATCCTTTCGCTGTCTCTGTGGTGAGACAAACTGAGACAGGAGGTCTGTCAAATAAGGATGCGTTTGTCTCTGTCTTTATTATTGTCAGGTTTGTCTCATTTATTTTATCCATGGGTATTTGCTGCCCTACTGATGTTGTTTAGCACCATTTTGTGTTTATTTGCTCTTACTTTTGTGCATAGATCAACAATAAGTTCCTGCACTTGTTTTGTAGCTTTTGTATGCATTCATAAAATGGGCTGTAACTTAAAGTGACTGATAACAGTCTCATCTATAATGGGATAAGAAAAGATTTCCTGGATTTTGACAACACCTTTTAGCGTAATCAGTCTGACGTCTTGACTTTATTGTCTCCAGTACCAGGTACACTGCTTCCTTATTATGCTCATTGTAAAGGTGAAGTCTGTGTTGTCCAACTTTGTATACTAAGTTATTGTTATCATGAATGACATAAATGACTCATGCATTGTCCAAAACAGCTTTGCTTCCTTGTCCATGGGGAATTACTCTAATCACACAACACAACACAACTAGAGACATTGTTGGAGCCTACACGCCCTGGTGTTTTTCAATTTTAATCTGTTAGTATGTATCAAAGTTTTGTTCTTGTGACTTTGCGGGAATAAATACTTGATTGTAAAAGCAGAGTTTCCCAACAATGCGCTCCTTTAAAATAAAACTGGCGGCTCACTGGAGAAATGTAATTTCTTGCTAAACCCAGAGGTTGACCAACAATATTTCAGCCATAGCCTGTTAAGGCTGTTAATTTCTGCTTTTTTGACTTCCATCAAAGAGGGAACTGGACATGACAAATGCAACTTTCTTGTGGTTTTGTTTGTTATGTTGCAAACATAATGATTTGCTGACAGAAAGATGAACCCTGCACTTTGTCAAAAAGCAGACAAACATCTCTCATTGAAATTGATGAGATAAAACTTCTATTATCTCTATTGCATGAAAACTATTTCTTTCAAATTTCCTTTTACAATAATACGACTTCACGATGTGCAAGAACTTTTTGAAAATGTACTGTTTTTGTAAACCTTTCAGTGCCTTGCTAAAACATACAGATGCATCATTTAAAGCAATCTCATAATTGTATTTTATAAGTAAGATTGTTGTACGATGTGCAACCTATTCTTCAGCTTCTTTCAGCAGTGCTGGTTAATATTTGTCTTTAAATCATTTTAAGAGGGAGAATGGTGTACACATCCAGCTCCAGTTGGGTACAGGGAAGGACAAAAAGAGCAGGAAAGGTTTCCAAACTGAAATTTGCCAAAATGTTGCAGAAATAAAATGTTTGGGAGCTTGCAAATTAAAAAAATTATTTTTTTCTTTTTTTGATTTAAATAATTTTCTTTGCTCATCACAGATTCAAATCTCTCTGATTCAAAACATCCAAACAAAAGGATAAAAAAAATCCATCATCAAACAAGATCCTGTTGTCTGAGCTGTGTGTGTTAGTGTGCTTGTCTACAGCTCCAATCTGGGATTAAATATATGATGCTGCTTAATTTTCATAGACAATTAGGTCTTTTTAAGGTCTTTTTGGGCTTAAGTAGTACATGAAGATATTAGGTTATGTAATATTTTCTCGAACATGTTTGTCATTTTTCAGTGACAATTCATTATTGCAAGGTCTTTCACGGGCCAATGGACAGAGACAAATCTCTGTTCCTTGTTTGGTTATCAGTGGTAATTTTGCGTGACAATCATGAAAAAGCCACCCTAGGTGTACCCACCCAATTAAACACGTACAGATTCAAGGAAAACTTGTGTTTGACCGTATATCTGTCTTTCCTTTTCCTCATTGCACAACCAGACCTTATAACTACAACCTATTACTTATTTACCTACGTTGGTTCATGGTTAACACCTTTGGTTAATACAGCACTCCTAACCTCAACCAGCCAAAAAAAAAGTGTGAGTGATTTCTTGTTTAATTCAGAGGTCAAAGGCTAAAAAGTGTGTGAAGTGTGAATTTTCTTCCTCTTTCCAAAGACTTTCTCAAGTTCATCAGTTTCTGTGTAGTAAGGCCATTAACCACAACATGGCAACATCAGTAATTCTGTTAAAAAAAAAAATAGTAAAAATTTTAGTAAAAAAAAAGTAATTTCTCTCCTTAGTTTTCAACAAATTCTTACAAACTATTATTTCCAGTGAGAAAAGACTGGATCCAGTTATGTCAAATACTAAAATGAAAAGGGATAGTGTGTTTGATTTATTCAAATATCAGTCTTTAAGAAGACAAAAAGTAGACAAATTATTTCTGTTTCTTAAACACATTAATATTCAAATTAAAAATGTTAAAATTAAAAATTAAAAGTTCATTCAAATAGCTCCATTGGGAAATATTATAAAAAACAACTACAAATACTAATAATTTTAATGTGTTATGTCTGTTATTGTCACCATGGCGACCACTATCACTGCTTCCAGTAGCAGCACTTGTTAGGCTATTTACGATATAGTTTTCTAAATCAGAGCATCAACCCTATCAGTTGACCAGAAACAATAACTGATAAGAATAAGGAATTTCAAGCACAGAGAGAAGGAAGAAGGAACTGCTCTTTACTGTAGCTTTACCTGGACAACCCCGGGGGCGAGGCCTCAGGACCTCACACTGAATATAAAGGAGGTGACGATGTTTGTCACAACATCGCTAACTCCAGATCTCCAAGAGCATCTGATCTCTTCACAGCTGTCCCCTCAGACACAGGTAACTGTATTTCTTTGGATGCTCAGATGTTTTTATGTTATATGGTATTTAAGAAACATTTTTAAAACAATTTAACAAATTAAATAAATTTTTGTTTATTTGTTTTAGAGATGCTTTTCTCTGTCCTTCTTGTGCTGGGCGTCTGCCTGGTGCCAGCTCACTCCAGTCCAACAGGTAGGCTACAACCTTCATATTGTGGACATGTTTCACTGGTGAAGTTTAAAATTATTTAGTCACAATTGAACAATTTAATGAGTTTGTTATTTCTTTGCAGAAAAGTATCTGGGCAGTCCTCTCCTTCAACGCTGCTTTGAAGACGCAAAGAAACTCGTGGATGATGCGTACACATACTCCAGGAAAGAGTGAGTTCATTTTATGGGATATTTCACAAAATAATAGATTATCTTTCAGATTTATTTAGCATAAATCTTCACTAAAGCTGTTTCTTTGTAATGCAAGCCATTCATTACAACTTCATAACTGTGTAGCAAACTGTAAGAAGCTCCAAAAAGATCACAACTTTTTTGTTTAACTGTGTGCGACTTTTCTCCTCAAGGAGTCTGAGACGAGTCCGCAAAGAGGTGGTGAGTCCTCACGATACTCTTCGTCTATTGAAGCAGCCTCGCGGTGACACACGCTCAGCTGTGAGATCTGCAGACTACATGGCACAAACCCTCCGTCTGCTGCACGACAGGGTGCATCATATTCACAAACGCTCACTCAACGCAACAGGTCAGACCTGCAGCACTCAAACAAAGACAATGCATACAGACACACACACACAGTGCTCACATTGTTTTTTTGGGATAACTCTTTCTGGTCTAGGTTAAATGTCTAAGGTTTACTGTGGCAATTGTGGAGCACTTTAAAGCTGTAATTAAGGTCTAGACATATAAAGTTGACAGACATGCACACACATTGTGAATCTATTAAACATGTCTCTCACATATTTCAGATTTACTCTCTGAAGAGGACCTGAAAAGGCTCGCAGATATAACCGGATGCTCAGCTCGAGTCAGTCTTCCGCAATGCCGCACCATGCCAAACCTTAACAATTATCGCACCATCACCAGCATCTGCAACAACCTGTAAGAGAAACATTCAGTCATGTTGTTAAAACTGAATAAATATACTCAAAAAATAAAATAATAATAATCAACAAGAAGACAAACAGACACTACAGAACACAATTAAAACAGATTCAAGAGCAGAGTTTTAATGTAGTTTGGAATTAAATTAAGTTAAAATGACCTATAGGTAAAAGCCTTAAAAGCAACATTTTGTATTTGCATGCTGGACAAATGTGAAAAGATTCTGTTTTAAATACAAATGTTGGTTGTAAAATTAGCTTGCAGTTTTCTTTCTGTATTTTGACTTCTGTAACACCTTCTTTGACATGCAAACATATTTTAAGGTGCAATTGTATAGTTGTTTTTCTTTCCAAAAAGCAATCTGTCTTGAATGAATTGAAACAGGGTCTGTGAGATTGAGTGGTGCTTACATTCAGAGGAAACGCTTGTGAAATACACCTAAACATCTTAGGCCATACACCACAGAAGATGTGTACACTTCTCTGGGATTTCTCAAGCAATGTTTCCAAACACGGACTCCTCTTGTTTCCTTTTAGAAATAACCCTCGCCTCGGAGCTGCCAACACCCCCTTCAGCCGTTGGCTCCCTGCCCAATATGACGACGGCATCTCCCAACCGAAAGGCTTCCTGAATCAAACAATCAACAACTTCTTCCTCCCACTGGTACGACCTTAAAATCCCAGACACTCGCTTGGATGAATATACATAAATGCCTAAAATGAACACAATTCTCCTCTACTCTCAGGTGCGGCAGGTGTCCAACAACATCCTAAGCACAACTGACGCAGGCGTGGTCAGCGACACAGAATTCACTCACATGGTGACGTTGTTTGGGCAGTGGAATGACCACGATCTCACCTTCACGCCGTTCTCCCCCAGCATCCGCTCCTTCAGCAACGGGGTGAACTGTGACGAGAGCTGTGAGCGAACTGAGCCATGCATCCCCATCCCGGTTGGTGTCAAAGCTCAAACCCAAACATTGAGATGCAGTTTTCATTAAAGGCTTCCCTCCCTAATCTTTGGCTTCTCTTTTCCTACAAACAGATTCCTCCTGGCGACCCTCGCTTGCCCTCCCGCCCAGACAGCTGCATCCCAGCGTTCAGATCTGCCCCTGTTTGCGGAACGGGATACTCGGCCTACAACTTTGGTGGCGAGCCCAACAGGAGAGAGCAGATCAATGCCCTGACAGCCTTCCTGGATCTCAGCCAGGTGTACGGCTCCGAGGACAAGCTGGCCCTGTATCTTCGCGACCTCGATAATAATGACGGCCTGTTGCGTGTGAATACACAGTTCAGAGACAACAGGCGTGAGTTGCTGCCCTTCCACCCTCTGCAGGTGAACATGTGTGCCACTCGCAGAAGAGTCACCAACGACTCAAATGCCAGAGAGGTGCCCTGTTTCATTGCAGGTTAGTCATCTTGTGATTTCATTGCTGATCTATAAAGAGTAGAACAGAATAATAGAAACATGAATCTGTTGAGGAACACCTGTCATCAACTGTTTGAACTGTATGTGATGGGTACATTTCTTGTCTGTCAGGTGATTCCCGCGTGGATGAGAACATCGCTCTGACGTCTATTCACACACTGTTTATGCGTGAGCATAACCGGCTGGCTCGTGAACTGAAGAGACTTAACCCACATTGGGACAGTGAGACCCTCTACCAGGAATCCCGCAAGATCATGGGTGCTTACACACAGGTAGCTAAACTTTAGAACCTGTCAAGATTTATAATTCTATATTTAAATCTCCAAAGCATGTGTCATACACTCCACTGTCTTATTCTCAAAATCTCTCTCTCTCCCTCTCTCTCTCTCTCTCTCTCTCTCTCAGCGGTTTGTTTTCAGGGACTATCTGCCACACATTGTCGGGGACGATGCGATGCGTAGACAGCTTGGTCGTTACCCTGGCTACAATCCCAACGTTGACCCCAGCATCTCCAATGTCTTTGCAACAGCAGCTTATCGCTTCGCCCACTTGGCCATCCAACCAACCATATCCCGTCTGGATGCAAACTACAGGGAGAACCCTCAGTCCCCCAGTGTCCCCTTGTTCAAGGCCTTCTTCACGCCCTGGAGAATCGTCTTTGAGGGTGAGCTTGACAGAGAGAAGTGCATTAACTTATTAGTAATGATTTTGACTTTGTCTTAAACTGTCTCCCTAATGTTTATTTTGTCTCTGCAGGTGGCATCGACCCTGTGCTCCGTGGTTTGATCGGACGTCCCGCTAAACTGAACACTCAAGATCACATGATGGTGGATGCTCTGAGGGAGAGGTTGTTCCAGTTTGTGCAGCATCTGGCTCTGGACCTGGGCTCTCTCAACATGCAGAGGGGACGTGATCACGGCGTGCCTGGTACATCCCTCACTCTTCACCCTTCTTCTCTTTTTTAATTGTCTGTATCCACTCTTTGCTCACTTTTTGTTCCCTCCTCTAGGCTACAACGCCTGGCGCAGGTTCTGCGGGCTGTCACAGCCCAGCAACCAGGCAGAGCTTGCTCAGGTCCTGAACAACAGCGACCTGGCCCGCAGGCTTCTGCAGCTCTATGGTACACCCAACAACATTGACGTCTGGCTGGGAGGCGTAGCAGAGCCGTTTGTCCGTGGCGGCCGTGTAGGGCCTCTCTTCGCCTGCCTGATTGCATCACAATTCCAGAGGATCCGCCAGGGTGACAGGTCAGTATGTGTGTATTTATAATGCATGCACAGGATTCTGAAGGCATAATATGTTTTTGTCTAAATATAATTAGGTGCAGTCTGTGCTGCTTTGAGCCCAGTCATCTTGGTTGTTTGAACCTGTGGGGGCTTTTACCAGATACTACCACTGGGGGGCGCAAATGCTACACATAATGGATTTAAATTACAGTTCACATGCTAATGTTGAACATTAAATTAAAAACGTGTTGCTGTTGTGAATAGATAAACTAATGCATGTAATTGCAGTTTTACTGTAGTGATTAGTACACATGATAACACCCTGCACTACTTAAGCTAGACAGAGACAGAGAGGAAACAGTAACAACTATAATAGTAGAAATCTGACTAATAATAATGATAATAATAAAATAGTAATTCCTGTCTCCATAACAGCAAAATTTGTATTTATTCTACTTTGCAACTTAGTACAAATAGTTAGAAACAAATAATAATATTAGCTGGGATCTTTCTAGAGTTGGGAATGAGATAACTGTGACTTTGTTGATTGTTCAAAAATAAATGCATTTCAAATACAATATATCTCACATGTAACTAATTCTCTTCTCCCTGCTCCTCTTGTTTGAAATGATCAGGCTATGGTACGAGAAACCAGGCGTCTTCACCCCCCAACAGAGAGCTGCTCTGTCCACTGTCACCCTGTCCAGGATAATCTGTGACAACACCGGTATCAATGCCGTCCCCACTGACGTCTTCAACGTCCTTTCAAGAACTAACCGGCTCGTCAACTGCTCCAGCATCCGACGTCTGAACCTGTTAGCCTGGAGGGAGAGACCTTGCACAGGTGAAATACTACTGGACCAAACTTTTTTGACCTCAGGAGGGAGGGGGGGTGACTAAGCATTTTTCATTCTGAGTTTAACCTGGTGTGTTTATTTCTTCTCTAATCACTTGTATGGAAATGGTTCTTCATATGTGGTGTTTGATCTTGCAGGCGCGGGTGATAGCTGTAATGAAGTCAGTGGAGCAGAGGTCGGTTTTAAGCACTAACAACTGATAGTCAAATGTTAACATTTTAATAGCACAATGGCACTACACTTTCTTAAAAAGTGCAGATTCAAATCATTTATCACTTGTTGTCTTCTTGGTGAGGGTGGTCCTTACTAAAAAAGAGACCATTCATGGTGTACTAATACAAGCACATTTTGAAAAAAATGAACAATGAAGTTTTGAAATTATGAGACTAGATTTTAACTTCTACATCTTCTTCATATACAGAATGTGAACGAGCCGGACCCCCAGGACCAAGGGGGCCTCGAGGACAACGAGGTAGTGTACTCAGCTGTTGTCTGTTCAACCTTTTGTACATTGTATACAGTGCTGAATGTGCTCCAAATAGCTGAAAAAGGTTTAAATACTATAAACTTCTAACCCATACTGACACCCTATAACAAGTAGCTTTACAATTAATGTGATTATGATAATACTTTATTCTGAATGCATTGTTTAAAAAGCCACAACAAAGGCTCAGTTAAGACTTGTATGTTGTTTGACATTAGAACTTTAAAAAACACATTTCTAATATAAGAAATACATAAGTAGGTGTCAACCAACTATGGGTAAAATGTTTAGAGATGTCTCTGATGTTGGGATGATATCTCTGAGTCAGGCAAAGAAAGGCAAGTTTACTTGTATAGCGCCTTTCATTAAGGCAAGTGCTTAAAAGGGCATTAAGACAAGGTATAAAGAGAAACACAAGGTAATAAGCATTCAAGATACTTACACAAGTATTATCAGCAGCATGTATTTAAAGTAAAAATAATTAAGTATGGTCATTGTGCTTTCAAGTGGCTCCTTTCTTGAGAAACATATATTACAGGATTATTATTACTGATGCATTCATCTGTGAATGTGAGTTTGAGAGAAATTATGTTAGAAAAGGGGCTTAATTACAGACTGAAATGTCCCGATAAGAGAACTGAACAATGCATCATGTTTCAGAAGATCATACATTTTGTAATCTGCAAAACAACTAGTAATGAATGTAGTGGAATAAAAAGTTAAAGATTTCCATCTGTCTATATTAAATATAGATAGTACTGTAGTATAAAGTAGTAAATACTCAAGTATAGTATCTCAAAAGTATACTTGGGTACCGTAATTAAGTAAAAGTTACATTCTATCTCTGGATAATTCCTAATGAACGATGACTACAAGCCTACAATGCTAGTTTTACAGCATTTAGAAGTAATCCATACTTTTGCTTCTCTGCAGGTCCAGTAGGACCCCCTGGCCCGAGAGGCCCTCCTGGACTGCCAGCACTCAACATCAATGCCTCACAACCACAATCTGCCTTCTCAGTCCTTCTGGGCAAGTACTACCCATCCTCAGAGAGAACCATTCATTTCCATCAGGTCTTGTACAACGAACAGAATCATTACAGCACTAAGACAGGCCTGTTTATTTGCGCTACCCCCGGTGTCTATCAGTTCAGCTTCCTCTGCACGTTTTTTGTCGGTTCAGGAAGTGTGGACCTGTGGCATAACAAACAGCTGGTGCTGCACGGTTTCAAGTTTTATCAGGGAGGTCACCGCTTGTTATCAGGGGACACGGTGCTCAGGCTGGAGATGGGAGACAAAGTGTGGCTGGATGCCACTGAAGGGACCACCGGCCTGAGCACTGAAAGCTTCTTCTCGGGACACCTGCTCTTCACTGTGTGAAACAAACACTTCTCCTAACTGAACCGCCACCCTCTAACACACCGGTGGTGTGTCTGCTTTAGGATCTCTGCACTGAGCTTCACTTTCCCTTAATCAGGTCATGTGTAATAACTATTATTGATCTATTATTCTTTTCTTTTGGGCCTACGGACCAGACTTGTGCACACCGTACAAACATTATAAATATTTTCTGACAAAAGAACAAATTTTACATGCTTTTAGCAGCCTCATTAATATTAAATGTGACTACAGCACATTTGTTAAACTCTGTTACAGCATGCAGTCCATTGGACCGGAAATGTAATTGATAGCCGCATTTACTTGTTTCATTAGGAATATTTTATGCACTGATTGAAAATTGAAGCATGCATTTAAAATGTGTTGTGCTTGTGTCTATGAGGCTTGTTTTACTGTAACTTCTGTATCTGTTGTATTTAGCATTCAATAAATAAACTAAAAAACTGAGCCGCAGCAAACCTTATGTTCATGTGTTCTTATTTATGTGAATCATTACAAAAGAGAGCGAAGACTACTCAAAATGTAATTTATTGCTGTTAAATTTGGTTTTATATAGAGTATTATAGCAAAAGCTCTATTTGTGCAGAACAAGGACACAGAAAGCAGGTGCACAAGTGCAAAAATGGGAAATATTTAATAATACAGAAATTGCATGTTTATCTAAAAAATCCTATGCTGCAGACATGAGGATCATGTTGTCAGTCCTAACGTTAAGATCCCCAAGTTCTCGGTGTAAGAGGACTTCACAAAGCATGACACTAAAACTAGCTGAGAAGTTAGAGGTAGGTCAGAGAACCAACTCGCCTTGTTGTGTCAGTGCTTTGGAAAAGATACAACGCTTTTAAAACCTCTCTGGTGATAGTTAATAAGGATCCACTGAGTTGACCAACAAATCCAATAACAGTGGAGATGTTGGTTTGCACAACTCTGCACTACTACAGTGAAAATATCCAACCAAAATAAACCACAGCAAACACTGACAGTGCTGTGTGATTCATTACAGGGGAGAACATCATTAGAATTAATAACATGATGAATTAATAATAACACATTTTATTTAATTTTCCATCCAATTTGGCCTTCAGTGTTCAGTTTACCTTTTGTATTAGAAATTACTGAACAAGATGTTCGATTGTCACTATTGCTGCTGAAGAGAAAGTTTCCTTGTTGTCATATATATATATATATATATAGATATATTGCATGTTTTTACCATAATGTCTCACTTGTCTCTTGGGACATGCCCAAAATTTGACTTTCTAGACATCGAACAGCAAAATACACTTACTGTGTTAGTAGGCCTATGTCATGACACTGGCTCAAAGTGAGTCTACAGTGACCATGCTGTGTGTGTTTACTATAGGTGCAGTGTAATTTGTGACAGCCAGTAGAGGGAACGGACAGTCACAGCAATTGGACAATTGATATCATCTGTTAGTCGAATCTCTCTCTCTGAATCTTGTTTTCAGATTTGTTGAGCGTGAAAATGGCCCTCAGTATACCACTAATCATCAAGAGACACCTGCTGATGGGAGTTGGACAATAACCATGCAGGTAAGGCAACTTGACTGATTCATTGATTCATCCTATAAAAACCCTTGAATGCTGTGTCAATTCATAAATCAGTGTAACTGATGCACATTTCAAACCATCCTGTTGAGCCTGTTGAAAAAACACAAATTTGGTGAAAATGTACTTTTACTCAACAATTTGTCTTTGTAGAAAGGATCATTTGGATTATTTAAATATCCCGGGACAGGTGTGGAATATATTAACAAATAGTATAGTGTAGAGCCCCAACATGTCTTCCTTACAGGCCTGCTATTGGCTGATACAGTGCCGAGGAAGGGCACTGTGGGTGGACGTTATAGTCCTTATCTTTCAGCAATGAGGCGCCACTGAAGTCAGCACTTAAGAAACATACTTAAACTTTGTAAAAAAAAGTTACTTTTATCTTATTTTCTATAAAGCTTTCAGTTCTACAAACATTTCTTAGACGTAGTATACATGCTGACCCCAGTGGTGGCCACAAGTAGATCAAGCTTTACTTTACATCACAGAATATGTTATTCTTTCAAGCAGTGATGTTAAACTTAAGAAAACAGCTCACTGAGTTTTGTTTTAATATTGACATCAGTAATCTAAATGGAACAACAAAGAAAAAATAACTTTAATGTGAATACCTCCTGTAGATGGAGCTATCGTTCTTTTTTAAACAAAACAAATGTATGATTCATGTTGTGACATAACCCACTTATTCTGACTACAAGGCCTATAAAACACTGCATCTAAAAATCATCATATTTTCATCAAACTCACAGATGTCCTATTTCCATCTCTTTGTTTCTTAAGCAAGCTTCCTCTATGTAAACAAAACGTAAAGTCTGATGTTTCAAATTCTATCAAGAGACATATAAATGTTCCTGGGTAAAGTGGCTCAATTTACTTGCTATCAAACATTCACTCTTTTATTTATTGTCTTCACCATTTTAACCATGTCATAGTTATTAAGGGTCACTGGAGGCCGTAATCAACCCACCATGAAGTGGAAATGGGTGAAGGATGGACAAACTAACAGCCTAACATTTACACCTGTGGTTAGCTTATTGTACGTTCTCCAGCCCACCTGGGCGGCACATGTTCACACTGCAGAAGACGTCCTGAGGAAATGTAGGTAAACATTTCACAGAAACATGCAAACCTTTTACAAGAAGGCTGAGATTTAAACTCGTGTTAAACTAAAGACGTTCTTGCTGAAGGGTGACAGTGTTAACCACTGAGCTTGTTTCTTTAAAGCAAACGTTCACTCTCATGTCTGTACAGTTAGCTTAGCTTAGCACAAA